CGTTCATAGCTGGAACAGACCCAGCGATGCAGACAGGCTGCAGGCCAAACAGTGCAGTACGGGCCTGTTGAATTGGATTTCAGGGGGCTGCTGAACTGAAGGACATGGGCATGAGTTGGTGCAACTTCTGCAGGGGGTTGGCTTCCAAAGCTGGGATGAAACAAGTACCAACAGTTAAGTTGATGTGTCCAGGGAGAGAGGCTGCGTGCTCGTGGCCCAGCTTACACGACAGGTAGAGGCCAAGGCCCAGCCGTGGAGAGAGCTGGTGGTTACACTCCCTGTGACTCAGAAAGCAAAACAAAGACAGAATGAGGAGGGCATTTGAACTGTGTTTATTTCTCTTAAAGGTGGTTCCCCCTCCCCAGGCTCCTCCTTTAATAAAGGGTTGAAAAGAAAATCCCAAACAGCAGATGCACTTTTTGGACACTGATAGGGACCAAAGCACAAACCCTTCCCCTTCGACCTTCTCCTGCTTCTGTGCTGCCACTGCACCTGTACTGTCAGTGCAGCTTCAGGCACAGCTGGGGCATCAGCTATGATAGAGAAAGGCAACAGAATTGTCTCCTGCTTCTTTTCATGTTATGTGGTACTGAAATGCCATTTCTTGTTTATGCATTACTAATAAAAAGTTCTTTCAAATGACACTGCATTGCTCTCACTTTCTTGAGCCAACCATAGAGACAGTGAGCACAGTTTCTTATACGGCACAGCTGGTAAGGACGCGTTCCACATTTGTGTGGTCAGGTAGAGCCCCAAGCCTGTGCTGCTGCAGGATTTAACAAGGTTAGACACAAAATAATAGAAGAGTAAGAAGGGGAAGTGTTGTGCCAGCACGGCCCCAAATGAGGAGCCCTTACTGATGGCTTTACTTGCAAGTGCCTTACAGTAAAGCGAGAAGCATACCTCGGTCACCTCAGCTGTGGAAAAATGAAGAGGACAGGACTTGTGCTTCATAAAAATGCCTCTTCATTGAGCAAATCCATAGCAAAAGCATGACCCAAATCTGGAGCTGTGATTAAAAGGCCAGCCCATAACCTGCATGGCTCTGACTAGTGGCAAGTGGTGCAAGTGGGGTAAGAAGAGAGTTTATGACAGAAATCAGATCTGATTTACAAGTCATTTTAGATGACTCCTTCCTGTTAACAGCAAAATGAAGCAGCTGCTGGACTCAGTTCAGGCATGGAGGACGCCTGCAGAGCTTTTGACCAGCACGACATGCGGCTTGTAGCGAGTTCGTGAGCGCCTGCTGCTGCTTACCCAGCACACACTGACACCCATAAATTTTCTTCAGCCTCCTCTGAAAACCAACAGCGCGTTTCACATTACAGCAGTTACACCCAGACGTGTTTCTTTAAATGGAGGATGTCCTTTATTTAAGATAGCACCATAGTGTACACAGACACTTTACAGAGTCCTGCCCTCCACAGCTTACAATCTAGGAAGATACAAGAATAGGAACGGTGTTACCCACTGCTCCCCCTGAGGATGTAAATGAAAAGTGTCACATCACGGAATGTCACCGGTCATCTCAGTGCTCCTTTATTACATCATCAGATACAGCAATTCCTGTACACGCTATGTGCTGCAGTTCAGTGCCTTCCATTGTGTTAAGCGTCTTTCCAGAATACCACAACTTACACTAGGATTGCCCCTTTCCCTAACAAATATGACTCTTCCCTCGTCATGCCTGCTGACCTGATGGGGAAAGAAGAAAGCAGCACAGGGGAGCATGGAGGTCTGACTTACACTGGCACAAGGACAAGTCAGGAAAATAAGAAAACAGATAATCTACACAAACCCCATTACACACAAGAGCATTTGATTACACAGCTTAAGATCCTTCAGGGCCAAGTGATAACAAACAGGCCCATTTGCCATGCTCTGGGGACCACCACTGTCATGCTCCCTCACTGTTTCCCTGCAGTCATCCTTCCAACTTCATCCTTCTCCAGCTTCATCCTTCCACAGCAGGCATGTGCAACACAGCTGTGGTTACTGGGCAGGGTGAACAGCCCCACTTGTCACCAAGCTGGAGGCCCAATATGCTGGCATTAAGCTCTTCAAATCAAACCACCTCCCTACATTGACACCCCCGCCTTCAACTGCAACCTGATAAACACTGAACTGCAAACCTCTGTGGCTTGAACAGCAGCAGCAAACAATCTCCCAGCCCCAACACACTAGCCTCTGTTGTCACCCCTCAAAGTGCAGAATTCTTACTCAAAATGGCACATGCCACCCATTAATGAGCATGGCTACACGTGTTGAGCTTCCTTCTGTTTGGTCCTCCCCCCACTCCCACAAGCAGCCTAGCACTTCCCCTCACATGCAGCTTTCTGGCTTTGACAGACACCTCCATCAATGCACATGAGACAAAACTGACTTCAGGAATATTTTTTAGCCACTTCCAGCAAATAAAGATGGGAGAGTTTCCCTAGGGATGGACCAAGATAACCAGTTCCAAACGTAGAGGTTTTTTGCCCCAAGGGTCAACTCAAGCTGTAACAGTGACAGAACTGGAGTGCTTCAAAAACAGTGTTACGCACAGCAGGGCTGAACATACAGGTACAGATCCTACCAGATCCCACAGAGAAGAGCCACATGGTTAAGGGAGAAGAAGGGTGGGTGCCCCATATGCAAACTAGATGGGCAGAAAGCAGGAGAGAGGAAGTATCCATGAAAGCTAATAGGAAATTAAAAACCAATCTGCTAAACACTGGAGCCTGCTTGGTTCCAAGTGTAAGCACTGGTCCTTGTACACACTGGAAAAATGAGCAGCCACAGGAGGTGCAGGAGTGTCACCTACCCCAAAGACAAGGCGAGAAGCAGCAGCAGCACTGCCCAGCAACGCAGAGAGGCAGCTGGATGATGGAACTGGCTTCTGGAGGAAATTAGTCTTTTTCCTACCCAAAGTTTCCCCACTCCCATTTAGCCTAGAGAAAAGCAGAAAAGGACTGAGCACAAGCAGGCAAGGCAGTGATCCACAGCAAGTGAGCTGCAGACAGACTGGACACCCAAGCACCAAGCCATAGAGCTCACAAGAAGCACGAAATGCAGAGTGGACGCAGCCCAAAGTCAGTGTGGAACAAAACAGAACAGAGATGCTGCAACACAAGCAGGTAAGGATTTGTTTCTGGAAGAAGGAAACGAAGTGCAAAGGATGTAATCCAGAAAACTGATGGGTAACTGATACTGACCCAAGGTGCGCCAGAGGAGTTTGGCCCTGGAGAGAACATAGGAGCCTGTGGTGGCTTTCCTGGGATACCAGCTAGTGCTGGTAGGTGCTATACACAAATCAGCTTTAAGACAACACTAAGTAACTATTTCACACCTGATGCAAGAAGCAGCTGGAGACAATTCTTCCAAAGCAAAGCAGCACATGAACCTCTCCAAAGACTTTTCTACCCCCCGACAGTTATGTTTTCATCATCTCCAGTAGGCATGTATGGAAATGCTGCAGTACAGGTTTCCACATGCACAGACACTTACTCATCTTTTCCTTTCGTTTGCAGAGCTCTGCCACAGCTGCACTCCCCTTCTCAGCTGAACGCCACCAGGAGCCAGAACATCTTCTGCAGCATTCCTTATCCAGGAAGTGGCATCGCTCCTCTGGAAGCAATCAACAACTGACCTGCACCAAAACTATCCAGCGTATCTTCTGGAAAGGAGCTGTTGTCAGCCTTTAAGCTCTAAGTTTCTGTCCCAAAATAAGAAAGACTTTAGGTCCATATAAAAGGAGCAGTGTAAATGTTAGCTACTAATTTAATTGCTTTGAACTAATATACATATATACTTAAATTAAGTTTATTCATTAGGATCATGTAATTTAGTGAGACTACAGTTACACCCAAACTAATGTTCACTTTCAAACTACCCAGAATACGAACGCTGAAACTTCCCTTAAGCTACAGACACTTTAAAATTACCAGATCAAGACAGTGACCAACACTTTGCTCTTCTAGTTTTTTTAGAAGTTACTCATGCTCTTTAACAGCTTCCTAAACACATGCTTGCCACTTGAATGAGTAAACATCCTTGCAACACTCAGTTCACTTTGTGTGAACACCAAAAATAAGTGAAAATGCCCTAACCACAAGGCTGTAAGAAACATATACTACATCTGGACCAAATATGAAAACGTTGTGAACATCAGAGAAGGTTAGGACTGGTACTTATATATTCCTGCATGTTTTACAGGAAGCAATTTCTGCAGTTACTGGAGTACTTTTCCAGATAATGAGAAACATTTACAATTATCCTAAAACCATTCTGTACCAACGTGAAAAAGTGTTGAAAAAATTCAGTTACACTGGTAGTCAGTAGTTAGTAAAAGCACTCAAAAAGGAGAGTCCCATTTGTTTTTCTTGTAGTCCTGTTTTCTCTATTCAGGGCATGAAAAGTGCACGTTCATGAAACCTTACCATCCCAGATTTCCTGCTTATTCCTCATTTCAGCTCTTCTGGTTATTGCATCAGTCTCTCCCTCAGTTAAGACAGGATGTGAAGAGCAAGGGTCAGTGGAACAGCACAGTCTATTCATTCAAGTAGCCTTCAAGTACCCTTCTTAGAGATAAATAAGAGAAGTATTTTCCAGCACCTTCCAGGAATTACTACTCCTCTCCTCATAGTGGGGGGAGGAACTAGGGCAAGTTAATAAATATGAAAATAAATTATACCCTTCTCCCCACCAAAAAACTGGTTTAGGCTATTAACATCAATAGAAACTTTATCTTTGTTTGGATACAAACATCTGAGAGGTAAAGTATCACTGTGTCATGTTCAGGCAGCACATTTAAACAAGATAAGAAAAGTTAGTACCAGGCAAGTTTTAGCTTTTTGGGATGATCCTCTCGATAGGTATCTAATTCTACAGTATCATGTTCTGACTCAAGTAGTTCCCTTTAAATGCCTTAAGACACTATCAGATTACAAAGCAGGCAAAGTTCAGCCCTTCACAGAATGAATGTTCACGTGGAAAACTCTTACTACCACACATGCATTCTTTTCAAGTTCAAGTACAAAAAACCCAAGATGATGTAAATATAACATACTTTCTATCTTTGTTAGAAAAGGCACATTTAGGCAGTTTTAAATGTGCTAGATGTTTTGTTTCCAGTGTTAAAAATAAATGGTTTAAATGAAATGAGCATCTGCAGGAGGTCAATTTAGTCTTCAGTAGGCAACAGGAGCTGCTGTGGAGATGACAGATGAGGTTACTTTTCCGCTGATGTAAAGTTCTTATAAATATATAAAACTTGTGCAGATCAGCCTTAGCAGGGAGATCTACAAAGCAGTCTGGAGAACAAGACTCTTCTGTCACCTCCCTGGAATTTTTGGTTTTATTTTTCTGTTGACGCTGCTGCCATGGCTGGTTTCATGCCCTCACGTGTTGACTTCAGCTCCTCCAATTCTGTGTTTAGTTTGCTGATCACCCATTCCAGGGCATCCCGACCCTGCCAGGAAAATACTGGAATTTAGGATCAGAACACATACACCACCACTGTTCATGTTTCTATAGTTTTTCCTCTGTCAGACGTGGCATTTGTTTTGAAATTGATTTCAGGCCCTGCATAGTTTGATACCAGATTACATTGATAATTTCCTGGCATCTTCTGACAGAAACTTCACTGCAAAGGCATTTGCTTAACCCATAAGCAAGAAGTAAATGCAATATTGGTGTGAGCTCCCCAGCAGCACACCTCAGCAAAAAGCCTAATTCAGCAGTTAAGTTCCCTTATGTAAAAGTGAGGCTGTTTTTACTGTTTGCTGCTCCCACCCCCAAAGAATATCAGCAAATTTATGTCAAAGTCTAGATACTGTTCTCAGACTCATTGACCAGGTTATATGTGCAGGTTTTGAGAAGATCCAGGATAAAGAAAGAGCGCCTTCCGAGTGCTCTTTGAAGCAGCAACTAACCTAGGAAGAGTTCAGAGATGGACTCACACCGAAGTCTACATTCATGCACAGCAACTTTTAGCATGTAAAACAGACTGAGAGACTACAGTGGCACATTTTATTTCAAGGTACATTCTTTCTCTATTCAGTTCTCAGAGTAGGAATGCCTCAAAGCTAGACACTGACAGCCAATGCTTTAGTAAGAGCTGGGGAATGCAGCAAAATAAGCATGAAAAAAACCTTTTACCTTAAGAAGACCCTGTAGCAGCTGCATCCCAATGACCACAAGACGAGCATGCAGCCAGACACATGATGAAGCCAAGAATATAAAGAGAAGCACTTTAACTAAATAGAAGTGCAAGATTTTAGAGCTCCACAATCTCAGAATAACAGCTTTTGCCAAAACAAGCGGATGGGATCAGAGCAGGAAAACGCCTGATCTTTTTTCTCTTAAAGAGAAGCCAAGAGACATTCACCTCTATTACCCTGCTAAAAGCAAGAAGTACAAACTGTGGAGAGCAGTAAAGGGAAGTCACACAGCTCTGGCCAAGTCTAGAGGAGTTCTGGAGATAAAAGATCTGAGCCCCCAAAGCCCCAAGCCTTCAGGAGAGCCAGTGTCAGTGTTCAGGTCCTCTGCAGAGACAGAGGGAAAGTAGAGGAACACCCCTCCACACACACAGAGTTTTGTTCTGAGCTATGATAGACTATTTTTGTTGCATGCATTAGAGGTGATAAAGAGAACAAAAACCTCACGAAGCATCCAGAACCTGCCGTTGTTCATTATAAACTACTAAGGAAGAATCTGCATAAACAGCTTTGAAAACCTCAAACAAACAAACAGGTCAAACCAAAACCCATGCACACTTTTGAAGAAATTTTTTTGTGGCTAGAAACATTACTCTGGAATAATATAAAAAGCCTAGTTCCAGGCTGCAAAGTGTAGTCTATTAAAAGAAATAAAGACTCTCTTTAGGTTTTTCATATTACAGGGACTTGCTGAACAACACCAAGTGCAACGTCTGCACTGGCAGGCTGAGAAAAGTCATCCATGTATCACAATATCCAGTTCAGCTCTCGGCCAGAGCTCAGAAAGGGGGATTCAGCTCTACCCAGAATTACCTCAAGAATTAGCATGTTTAAGTTAACTTGGTTCAAGATATGCTCTTAAAAAATACTAACAATATTCAACCAAGTGTGATTTGAATTGTCCAGTTTAAGCATGTGTTACTGGAAAAAGTCATTAGAAGAGTTTGATTTAACTTCTGAGTTCCTCCCATTTGAGCACCAGATCGACCATGCTTCAGCAGGGGATAACTTCTACCATCCTGTGCAAGACCTGGGAAGACCACCAAAGCATGCATAAGAGCACTCAGGCAGGAGCAGCCATGAATTAGCTGAGTGGAGTGCTTGGTAAGGAGCGAAGTGGGGGGAGAGAGGGGGAATCATCTTTCAGTAAGGATGTACTTAGATATTTAAAAGTCAGGTTAAAATGTCTTGTCTTCAGTGACACAGGCACAGAGAATTGAGTAAGCCAGCAACAGCTTAGATGTTGTATTTGTCTAATTGCATGAAGAAGACCTGTCAGAAAGTCAAATACCTTTGATGTAGAAAATGCTCAGTAGAAAAATACTAAACCATAGTGGTTTAGTTGATATATTTGTTGATAAGATAAAATATATCTAAAAAGTCCATGTCATTCAAACTGGAGTATCAAGATATTTCCTTCAGTTTTTGAGACCACACAGGCCTGCTCATCTCCTTAGACCTGCACACATGATATGCTACAGTTTGCAGCTAAACTTGTGATATTTTCAATGAAGATTTCAGCAATATTCTGCACAGGAAATTAAGTTACAAATCTCAACCAGAAGCAAAGCCTCCAAGTACTGCAGGACTGACCAGTTACCAGAAAAAAATCTGACAGAGGATTGGTCTATAAAGTTGCATATTATAGTAGGTCATTAAGCAAGCACATTCATAACAAAGCATGCATATTATATTAGTCTTTATTGCATATGTTTGCAGTACGACGTGTTTGGCAGACCAAACGCTGCATATGAAAATCTGCTGGTGGAGCTTAAGTGACTGATAAATGCTGAGCCTTTGGAGTTGATGTTTTCCAGAAAAACAGTCGTAAAAGCTTAGTGGAATGAGAACATAAAACCAAACAGTCAGGGCATACATTGCTCTCAAAGTAAGCAGTGTAGAAAATCCCATATTCTTAACTAGGGGAAGCAGCATAATGGATTTTTTCTTTTGTTTAAGGAATCTGATTAGTTGAAGCATAAGCCAATACAGGAATGACAGAGACAGGCTATACTGACTAGTGGAAGGAAAACAGTCTAGACAGATGCACTGCAGAGGCAAGTACACTCAGTTCTCTCAACCTTGAAGTCACGTTTTTTCATAGTCACATCGCTGGAGGGGCATATCACTACCAAAATGAACGTAACTCCAAGAGCAATGGAAAACACAAACAGCCTGGCATTCTGTCAGCTTCAAGCTTTGCACAGGCTTCCACAGAAGGGCAACAATACTCCTCAGGTATAAGAAAAGCAAATACAATTTCACTCTGCAAAAGATCACCCCTGTTAGGCAATCTGCTTCAATAAATTAACTTTCTATTCTAAGAATACAATTCTGTTTCTTTTTTATAATGCCAATTCCAGTCATGAACCAATTTACTCATTTCTTCAGGTGTCAGTTTGACATACTGAAATCACAGAAACTAGGACCAGATCAAACACTTGGTTGAGGGACTCATTCACATGCCTGGTTATCTGCAGTCACCATTCCACTTTCAACGGAAAGCAATACTGTGTGGCACAAGACACGGCTGCAGCAAGTCGGCTGTCCAGTGGCACAGGATCCAGCCTAGACCTCACCTACTCTCACTCTCTGCAGCTGCAGTGTAATGAACATGTTTGCCATTTCTGTATGCAATGTATAGAACATACATGCAGGTTAATTTACAAAATTCACATGACAACAATCCATGCACATATTTGCTAGAAAGCTGAAATGCTGTACCAAGAAGAATAATGCTGGCATTACCACTAGTTAGTAAACTGGAGATGTGGAGCACTGCTAGCTTAGAGCGCTTTCAGAATTTTGAATTATCCACTCAATAGCATCCCACCCCTGGAGTAACACAAAAAAGATTTACAACATATGGCAAATGATTTTCCATCATCGGTAAAAATAATAATGCATCATCTGCCACTTCTACCTGAGAGCAAAATCTCAACACTAATTTCCTATTTCTTCAGGACAATAAAACATTTGTCAGCAACGTTCATGAAGTTTAAGTGTGGTGCTAAGACCACAGAGGCACAGCACAGCATGCAAGAAAAATTAGTAATAGCAGAGTAGGTTACTGGGTAGCAAGGAAAGGGCTGGTAGGAGCAAGTACAAATTCCTGCCAAGTTCAAATCTCTAAAGAGACTCTTCAGTGAAACACAAAGGACAAGAAGGTCTTTTTGATTTGCAAGAAGCTTGTAAGCCAGTGTGCCCAGTTGATCTGGCCATTCCAGCTAGCTAGTGCTTTACTACCTCCGAGTCAGCCTGAAGTTTTGGTTGTGAGCCAGGGTTTGGACTTCTCTGTCAAGAACATACGACCTACACAGACTTTTAAATGGAAACTGGGTCAGAGAAGAATTGTAATTTATCTGAAACACATTCCATTTAAGACTTTCAAACACAGAGAGCACTCAATTAGTTAAAGTTACTCTTCAGTGTCTAGAAATTACTCATCCCTCTTTCCCCATCTCCCAATTTTAACCTGTTTCCCTTTCACTTTTGGAGAAGCACACAGAAGTGGGGAAAAGAAGACTCTCTCCTCTATGATCTAGTTGGTCGATACCTCCTATCAAGTTGACTTAACACTGCTTTGGTCAAGCAACATCTCTCGCAAGGACAAAGGGCTGGCCAAAGCACAGGCTCCCTGGCATAGTAGGAGTTACCTGGGCCAGATTCCCACTGTGCTGAAACTCCCTAGCAAAGCAGAGCACAAACTCAGATTTCATGTGCACTCATCCTGCTGTTAAGCAGTGATGCCTATGCTTCTCTAGCAACTCCATTTCTTTCCTACCTTCCCTGAAGCAGCACAGGACGAAGCACCCAAAAATAAGCACTCCTGTAGCTCTGCCTGTGCTGAAGTGCAGCTCCATGGCTGCAAGCCAAATAGAAAAAGCAAGCACAAGACAGAGGAGTCAGTGTAGTGTTACCTACAAAAGGCAGCATAGTTTCACCTCTCCAAAGAATGAGCCTCTGCTTATACTACATTACTTTCAGCAAAGGCAAGGAGACAGCTCAGTAATGGATAGTAACTGGAACAAGTGACAAAGCAGCATAGATAATATGCTAGCATTAACTGCTAAATCCAGATTATAAAGGCTGAAAAGGAAGTTATGTTCACTACTAGCACTAACTCCTGGAAATAGAGGTTAGTGCTTAAAAAGGTGCTTCGGAAGAAAAAAAAAAAACAACCCCAATACAACAACACCACCTAGCAATATGTGTATGCTGTATGTATACCATGCAGCGTGCACAAAGAAGTTTGTTCTGCTGTGCATTTCTCGTTAAAAAACAAGGATTTTGTAGTGAAACCTTCTCATACTTTGGGAAATTACATTCTAATTGCAGAGTTGAAACTGTGCACAAAGTTTAGCGAAATTAAATACAGTATTCAGGACACATGATTGACAACTACTATTTTAACAAAAAGAAAGGTGGGGTGGGAGGAGAGAGAAAAAAACAGAATAAAGATGTACCTTTCTGGCGTTGGAAGATATTGTGTTTGCCATTAAGCTTTCCAGATAACTGCTCAGGCTAATGCCTTTAACAGTAATAATTGCTTCTTGAGTTAGCACAGTTCTGTAAGAGAATAAGGCAAAGTTGACACCTAAAGAGAACTGGACTAGTATAAATGCCTTCTATGTACTAAGAAGCACAAAAATATCCTTACTTACTTCTCAGGGTTTTCAGGATGCGGTGTGTAAACCAGTCTCTCATCAACAGACACCAAGTTTGTGAGAGTAATCTTAAAAAGAAAAAAATAAAGCTTAAATCCTCACTTCCCACCTTTTGTTTTTCTGTTATCAACATCACTTCTCAACAGTAGAGCACTCAATTTAATGTCAGAGACACAGCAGTGTACATTGAATATAAAACCCAGAACACAGTCAATAAAAAGACCTATAAAGAGTGATGCGTCTTCTCCTATCCTAGCTCTAATGATACCAATCTAACTGCCTATTCACAGTACAAAGCACAAGCAGCTTTCATTTGTTTTCTCGGAATGTTGAGTCTTATCTGATTTATCGCACGTGACCCAGAGAGGTTCTTCAAGATCAAGACCACCATAACACTATTTGGACTGTACAGAAAACGAATACTCCAGAAAGACAATGTATCTTGTATAGAGACAATGATCTCCTACAGGCAACTCCACTTTAAATCTGATAGGCACAAGTTCCCAGGATATAGCATAATACTTCATTTACATCTTGTGAAAAAAGGCATGTCACGTTACCACTTTCGTTGTAAATGGCAGCATAATGCAGAACAAGTTATTCATCTGAAGTCAAACTATTTTACATGAATTCTGAGAAACAGCCTTACATTAAAAAAGAATCACAAATATTTGATCCCAAAGTATGTAAAGTTTTCTATTTGTGGAAAGAAGAAGGAGGAATAAAGAAAAGCCAGCCAACATGCCAACTAAGATGTGGAAATTGCCACCTCCTGATGAAAGATGCAAATACATTTCTAATCTAAATGTTAAAAGCAAAACATCTAATCTCCAGAACTAATTACCAGTAACTTCTTAAGCTACCACTCACATTAGTTGAGCAAAGCTCCATCTTTTTTTCCACTGGATCTACCACAGAATGTTCCTCAATGTAAGTCAGAGTTCTACTTGTTCCTAAAATCTGAAAAGGAAGAAATCAGAAAATAAAGTACTAAAAACAAAACAAAACAAAAAAAAACCCCTGAAATACATTAATGTCAAATTTCTAGTGACCCTAAATAAATAAAACTAATTAACGAATACCACAACAGTGGGATCACTGGCAAGACTACATCCTTGCAGGTGGTATCAGCCATACAGCATGACACAGACTAGTCTGGAAGGCATGTATAGACATACGGACTCAACAGACATATAAAGCCTACAACATATTCTCGCCACTAGGTACACCAATTAGAGCTTATGTGGTATTTGTGGATTGTATTTCCTACAAATGAAGCTTTTACTTTGAATTGAGCTCCAATTCTGGTGATGACATAAAAATGCATCACAGCCTTAGTAAACCATTGTGGCTGCCAAAGCGTACCGCTTTTACAATGCTCGGCAATCCCCACTCGGTGCTGAGGAGACGGTGGCTATGCAACCTCCCCTGGTTATCAAGGGTTCTGTCAAGGACATCCACTCCTACCACACATGGATTCATTGGGTTGGGGTACTTTCTCATAGCAGCTTTGATCACCGTATCCCAGGGGTGTCTGTAAAAAGGAGACAGGATTTGTAACTATTTTGTATTAAATTGCAATTATTCAGACAACACTAAATCAGGGACCTAGGTTGTGTAGTATGGCACATGTTGTACAACTTTGTAGCTCCCAAAAGTCCCTTCACAATACAGCAATGCTTGGAAAAGTAATAAGAAAGTATTGACACACAAACAGGAAAAAAAGTACTCCTCTCTCCAGAGTGAAGAAAGGAATTACTAACCCAAGACTAACAGAAATGAGGCAGGGAGCAACAGTCACAAATTGCTAGAAGTAACATTCCAATTAGCTGTCCAAAACCACCACAATGACAGGGTAGCTGTTCAATCTCAATACATTCCAGAACTCAACCGGAAAAGCAACCTGACCTAACATTTAAGTTAGCCCTGCTTACACCAAATAAATTCAAGAAGAAATCATTAGCTTCTGTTTCTTCCTGTAGCAAAAAAAGCAAAGTGAAATTTAATTCAACTAAAAAAAAAAATAAAAATCAGGAAGTTCGAAATAAATAAACAAACCCCTGAAACAACAGATTTTCAGAAACCATGTCTGCTCACTGCCTTAAGTCTGCAGCTACACCACTGCTTCCAGCAGCTTCTTAGCATGAATTACATTCATGGATACCTTTCTCAACACAGAACTGCTTTTATGAAACAAGTTTTGATAATCTCAGACTCCTGGGATCAGAGCAGCCCCGCTCCTGGAGGCCAGGCTGCCCACATGGCTCTTGTTGGGGGACTTCATGTACCTTCTGAAACAGAGGAGGACAGAGAAATTATGGCCTTGATCCAGTACATTAATTCTGCCCAAAGCAATGATTTCTACATTCAGAGTAACTGATAGATCTGGAATAAAAGGTTTATAACCTTTAAAAGTACCTTTAAAAATTTAACTATTGATAGCTAACTTAAGAAGGCTTAGGGGTGCCAACCTGTAGGTAAGAGTTGCACTTAGGGCCCTAAATGGATTTGATTTTTAAGAACACTACTTTTAGTCTTAAAATAGATTGGTACAGAAGGGCATCAACAGTACACCACTGCAAGAACAAGCAGAAGCTTGGGAAAATAAGTTCCAACAAGAAGAATGAGAAAAGGTCTTTCAGCTTTATTGGTGGAAGCAGGAAAAACAGAGCCCACAGTTCCTACGTCTGGGGAAGAGCTGGAGGACCATTCCTTGTTATCTTCAGCAACTATACATCATAATCAGCAGAAGAATCACAAACTGAAAATGACAAATTTCTGCTAAGTGTCCTTGAGGGATTTAAAGAGTCAGAGATCTGATAAGGCACAGCAATATTTTATTAACCCCTGAACTATCTACTCCTGCACATATGAAACCGCAAGATAGAGGTGTTCCAGTACAGATCTTGATAAGAAAATGGCAAATAAAAATCAGGTTTGTTTCACAGGTGTCAAATATTCATCTCAAAACCAGAACTTATGTCACACACAAGCAGCCTTCACAAGCCTCTGCTTGCCATTTCATATTAGAAGCTACAATTCGAATTCACAGAATGGCTTGGGTTGGAAGGGACCTTAAAGATCATCTAGTTCTAACCCCCTTGCCATGGTCAGGGACACCTTTTACTAGACCAGGTTGCTCAAAGCCCCATCCAGCCTAGCCTTGAAAATTCAGCTGTGTTAATGTAATTAAAGAAGTTTGAAACGGCACACATTTTAGGAACTATCACCCCTGGAGCTCTTCAGGATTCGAGTTTTTAAAGACCTGTGGCATTTAAACAGCTGCACTGGCACGGCAGCATCCTCCATGTCAGCTCCCTTGCGAATCTTGTTACATACCTGTTGATACGCAACAGTAACTTTCTGCTTACTGTTCCCTCGTTACACAAAAGTGGAACTGAATAGCCGGAACCATGTTCAAAATATCTTTGATGTGGAAGAAGACCGACAGTGAGAAAACTTACTCAGCTATCACAATGCGTCTGCTAGGCATTTCTCTCAGAGAATGTGACAGCTAAGGTAAGATACACAGTCCCTCTGTCCTTACCTCTTGGAACACACCATCAAGTATGCCAGTAGTTTGGGATTTATGTTTTTTTTAGTGTGAAAAATATCTTTCCTTAAACACCCGCACCTCTCCCAAGCGGTTCGGCTGTGGGACCAGCCCCACCACTCCCCCCGCCCGTTGGAATGGCACTTCCCGCCGCAAGTGGTGGCAGAAACCCTTGCACGGGAGCCCGACCACGCAGGAGGAGAAAGCTGAAGGTGACGAAGACCCGCAGCGGGGAAGCACTGACGCACCGCCAGCCCACCCCTCTC